AAGCATGGAAAAAATACGAAAGAGGGTGGAAAACAGACTCAGCACATGCTGATAGAATGAAGAGGAGAAACAATCTAGGAGATGAGAGATACATGTCTCCCTGTATGAACAGAAATGTAATATTCTGGTGGCAATATTTTGTTCTAACATTGAGGATAACAACAACCAGGTCAACATCAACATGAGGCCTAATTTTAGGTCAGTAGGAAACTTTTCTTCATTATTTTAATGTGACTATTCATATGTCCAGGGCAGATAAATCTATTTCTTGAGATATAAATATTTTTTCCTATTTGCTAATCCACAGATTGTTCAATTAAATGACTTGATTAGCAATGGCTATTCCTTACTGTTTCTCTGAGTGGAGAGGCTTAGTATGAGATTAATTTCATGTTACTCCAGCAAGCTCGCTGACAGGCTGTCTTCTGGGCTCCCTCTGCAGTCCATGGAGAGAACATGAGATTTTAAAGGTGGGCTTAATCATACAGAAACAGGCTGTTAGCTCTAACTTTACCCATTTATAGGAGTAACATTGTTAACTACAGGATTTAAACAAATATAAAACGTGTTTTCTAGATATTTGCAAGTAAATTGTTCCTCTCACAGCTGCATGGTAGGTCTCTTGACTGATACCAGCATAGTATCTCAGACCATTGCACAGGTGTCCATACCTGTGTAATGCATAAACTGGGGGTTGGTATTGGGAAAATCAGAGCATGATATTCCCTCAGGTCACACTAAATTTCGTGCCTGCACTAGAAGCTCGTATGACAAAATTTAACATGGCAGATATAACTAGAATAGCTTTTTGAAACCAGAGTTCATACAGAGAGCTTTGGTATAGAAGAATTATTTTATTATTGTTTCCAAAAAATAATAAGAAAAATAAATTCCAATGTAGTAAGGAGAGAAATACAATGTTATTTCATGAAGATCAGATTTGTCAGTAGATATAAATACTGGGACTAGCAACAGTAACTAAATTTCTTCCTGTCCATCTCCCCACACAGCTATGAATTAATAAAAATAGAATGAAGACAAATTATAGCTTGGACTAGAAAGAAAAGAATTCTATTTTTCCCAAAGTTTTTATTGTACTACTCCTGGAATTATACTGGAAAACAGAAAGGGCAAAGCTATGATCTTACTGAAATTAGCTGTAAAATTTTACTCATTGTGTGGTTTTCACTCTAGTGTCAGGCATCAGACAGCTGGTCTTCTTACATAGATAGGGAAGGCAAAAAAAAAAGGCATATTTGCAATATGTACTTGCTGCATGACAGAAATTTAAAGTAAATTAAACACAAGAGCATGCTGCTTAATGAAGTCCTGGAAAGGAAACAGTCCTGGAAGCTGAAAGTAGCTACAAACATCTCAACTAGGCATATGTGCTGTAAGTGGTGACACTAGTGAGCATCGGCATCAGTCACCGAAGGGGTACCTAGCCCACCAATTGCTACAATCAAAAGCGGTTAAATTAAACAAACAAATAAATAAATGAGGTTTCTAACCAGCTTATAACCATATTAGCAAAGAAAAGGTAAATTTGTTCAGAGAGTGTGGGATGAACAAATCAACCAGCATATTTTGTGCTTGTTCCATCAACATATCACGGCACTGTATAGACCTGTACACTGAATGTCGAGTGATGTTCCCTGAAATGCTCAGATGGGTATCCTTGGAGATATAAAAAATGAATTGCTGACATTTGAATAATTTAATTTTTCTCAATCTGAATAATTTAACTTTTCTTGTTTGGGAACATCACAGCCCTAAACCAGAAATCTTCAGTATTTTATCACTGGGGTTTATTTATACAAATGTCACAGGCTTGGCACACTACTCCTGGGTTTTAATTAAATTGATGTCATGGCCTTTTGCAGGAACCTACTGAAACTGGCCCAAAGGCTAAGATAGTAACCATCATATTATAGAATCATAGAATAGTTACAGTTGGAATGGACCTTAAGATCATCTAGTTCCACCCCCCCTGCCATGAGCAGGGACACCACACACTAAACTATGTCATCCAAGGCTCTGTCCAACCTGGCCTTGAACACCTCCAGGGTTGGAGCATTCACAACTTCCTTGGGCAACCCATTCCAGTGCCTCACCACCCTCACTGTGAAGAACTTCTTCCTTATATCTAACCTAAACTTCCCCTGTTTAAGTTTAAAGCCATTACCCCTTGTCCTACCACTACAGTCCCTAACAAAGAGTCCCTCCCCAGCATCCTTGTAGGCCCCCTTCAGATATTGGAAGGCTGCTCTGAGGTCTCCACGCGGCTTCTCTTCTCCAGGCTGAACAGCCCCAACTTTCTCAGCCTGTCTTCATACGGGAGGTGCTCCAGTCCTCTTATCATCCTCGTGGACCTCCTCTGGACTTGCTCCAGCAGCTCCATGTCCTTCTTATGTTGAGGACACCAGAACTGGACACAATACTCCAAGTGAGGTCTCACGAGAGCAGAGTAGAGGGGCAGGATCACCTCCTTTGACCTGCTGGTCAAATAAAACAAATCTAAATTAATATAACAAAACTGACACCAGGTGACAAGCTGTATTGAGTGAGTTGAGGTAAAAATAGCCACAGAATTGGTATTAAGTATATAGTCTAAAAGACAATGGAGAACTGGGTTAGATCTTTGGCTCCTTTTGTCCAGAGGATACATTTGTGTTCATTTCTGCTGAAATGCTACAGCATTGTAAAAACACATTGAGATTGCAATAATTCTGGTGTTAATAAAGATAGTGTTATATTAGGAAATCATTGCACAAATCAGCCTGGTTCTCGGGGTGGGCACAGATATAGATGTGAGGAGATTGTAGTTTTACATAATCCTTCTTCCCTCTCTCCTGGATTCTAACCTGCTCCTTAACCACTCCTCAGCCACCTAGAGGAGTCTTGGTCTCATGCTCTTTAGCACTCAGCCTTTTCTAGCTCATCAGGTGCTGGGGTGCAAAATGAGGAATAACATTACAAACTCTTTACATTAGTGAGACATAGACCTGTTGGAGTAGGTCCAGAGAAGGGCCATGAAAATGATCAGAAGGCTGGAACACCTTGTCTGTGAGGAAAGGCTGAGAGAGTTGGGGTTGTTCACCCTGAAGAAGAGAAGGCTCTGGGGAAGACCTTATTGTGGCCTTTCAAGGGGCTTATAAGAAAAATGGGAACAAACTTTCTAGTAGGGCCTATAGCAATAGGACAAGGGGTAGTGTCTTTAAATTAAAAGAGGGGAGATTCAGGCTGAAACTATGAAAGTAATTTTTTATGCAGAGGGTGATGAAACACTGGCACAGGCTGCCCAAAGAGGTGGCACATGCCCCATCCCTGAAAACATTCAAGGACAGGTTGCACGGGGCTCTGAGCAACCTGATCTAGCTGAAGATGTCCCAGCTTAACCACTCCTCAGCCACCTAGAGGAGTCTTGGTCTCATGCTCTTTAGCACTCAGCCTTTTCTAGCTCATCAGGTGCTGGGGTGCAAAATGAGGAATAACATTACAAACTCTTTACATTAGTGAGACATAGACCTGTTGGAGTAGGTCCAGAGAAGGGCCATGAAAATGATCAGAAGGCTGGAACACCTTGTCTGTGAGGAAAGGCTGAGAGAGTTGGGGTTGTTCACCCTGAAGAAGAGAAGGCTCTGGGGAAGACCTTATTGTGGCCTTTCAAGGGGCTTATAAGAAAAATGGGAACAAACTTTCTAGTAGGGCCTATAGCAATAGGACAAGGGGTAGTGTCTTTAAATTAAAAGAGGGGAGATTCAGGCTGAAACTATGAAAGTAATTTTTTATGCAGAGGGTGATGAAACACTGGCACAGGCTGCCCAAAGAGGTGGCACATGCCCCATCCCTGAAAACATTCAAGGACAGGTTGCACGGGGCTCTGAGCAACCTGATCTAGCTGAAGATGTCCCAGCTCATGGCAGGGGTGGTTGAACTAGGTGACCTTTAAAGGCCCCTTCCAACCCAAACTATTCTATGATTCTGTGGTTGGGAATTCACCCGTGGAAGGGCAGGGAGTGTGCATGTACGCATGAATGTCCGCACAACTGTACTTATGACCTGTTTTCACAATCCTGTTACATCCATTGTTTAACATACATGAAATAGCCCCCACTCAGGCTCTATATTCCTTGGGGATATTGCCATACAGTGTCTAGCACAAGCAGAGTCTCAGGCTGCTTTTGGAAGGGTGAAATGCTGCTATACTCAGTTACTCTGTTAGTACTTCAGACCCAAACCCAAACTCTAAATCACACAATTATTCCCCTCCACATCCCAACCCAACTTTATTTACATCATCCTATCTCCCAGGCTAACATACTGTGAAAGAGACTTCCCTTCCAATGGGTGCCTCACAAATTATTCATCCTTTCCTGCACCGAGACACTCCATAACTGTTAGGACAGTGATTAGGATGAGGTACACTAAGAAAATCAGAAGATAGGGTCTTCTATTTTAGAAGTCTGCAGATCCCTTTTCTTCCCACTGCTTTTAGCTGTTAGAAGTTGGTAGTTTCAGAAAAACAACCTTAGGAAAAAATATTTTTAGTCATATAAAGTTTATTTACTTAATAAAGTTATATTACAATATATACAGTTTCTATTTACATATACACCTTTCTAAGAAATAAAGCACCATATGATACAGTTAGCATCTTAGAGGAATTTACAGCAATTTTATATCTACTTATATCTACAGACACACGTTGATTTGAACCAACTTCTCCTAAGAAGCTGACTTCAGTGCGTTTTGGATTAGACTGCTAGTGAAGTTACCAAAGAGAAATTGCTGTCAGCTATCAATCTATCTGCTATACTTCAGGATAAGAGATCTTAGCTATGTCATTTCAGGGGCTATGTGCAAACTTAATCCTCAGAGGAAGTTGGAGGTATAGCTAGAAGGTTTTTTATAAGAAGCAAGTTTGCAACACTTTCATCAGTAAGATTTTTACTATCATCAGAAACAGTTTCATTAGAATGGGGGGAAAAAAACCCCACTGCATGTTTATATGCATTATGCAAAGTGAAGTTAAGAACCTGGAAGCTTACAAGATATGGTATCATGCATTCCCCAAGGAACCAATTTACTCTTAAAGAGCCCAGTCTTACAGCTACTGAAACTCCTGGCATGATCCCCTTAACTCAAGGAGAAAGTCTAGCTGTTCACTTCGTAATCTTTATGCCACCGTCAAGAAAAGAAGGCGGCTCTGTCCAAGGTACAACATTTCCTTCAAATGAATAAAAGACATTTGGAGGGCGAAAATGTAAGATGAGGTATTTAATAAACTACAGGAAAACTGAAAGAGCCTAGACTGTTTTGAAAAACATCTCAGATATTTTATGTATGCAACTGTTACATTCACCTGATTGGGGGTCAAGTTTTGTATGAACTTTTTATACCTTCTGCACTACCTAATCTGTGCTTTTCATATTTTTGCTTCACTAGATGTTGGGTCTAATGGCTGGAAGAAAACAATGTTACTCTGAGGACAGTTGTTATGACAGACACAGGTGTTGATCAACATCATTGGCTTCTTTAGGACTTTGCCCTGAGGACAGCGGAACTCGACCTGAATCGTTTTGGTGTTGTGTGGGGTACAGCATCGCCCATCATTGCAGAGGCCACAGTACCGAGGTTTGTATGTCTGCACACTAGTGCAGTTCTTGTATTCAAATCGAATGGCTTTCAGGGACTTCTTTGTTCGGATACATTTCTTCCCCTTCTAAGAGAAATATGAAGAGATATTAGATGCATGTTAAAAACTGACATGAAAGGATACAGGTCTACTCTGAAAAATTAGATTTGTTGTCTTTGCTCATTCAACAGCAATAAGACTCTGCAGATGCTTTAATAGTTATTACAGGTAGCTCCTGCAGGATCTGCCCTTTGACACCAATGTATTATTGGGCTAGTAATAGATGACAAATAATTAAAGCTCACTCATGTCATGTGAGACAAGCCAAACCGACATTCACTGTGAAACTATACTGGAAAACTCAGGCTAGTGAATCAAAGAGCCAAATGGTCAAGAAGTCAAATGAACAAGTTACAGGACTAGATTCAGAGGGATAAAAAGAGGGCTAAAATGAACCCCAAGAGTCATAGACCATTCTCGCGATCTGAGGCAGAACCAGCTTTATCCATGGTAATTCTTAACAGATGGCTGTCTAACTTGTCCTTGGAAGTCTTCATTGACAAAGACTCCCCATCTGCCCCAGACAATCCTAACAAATCACTATTCTTACTGCTTGGTTTTCACTCATGTCTTAATTTTTATGCAGTCTAAACTCACCATTTCTTGTTGCATCCCCATGGACTCTGAACAGGCTGCAATATCTGATTAGTTATGAGAGCACATCTCTGTTCTCTTACATTCAGAAAAAGTTCAGTTTAATCAATTTTTCCCTAGCTGAACCTGTTTTCTAGACTTCTGATCATTCTTGTTAGTTTACCCAAATCTTCCCAAATGTTTTAAACCCTTTTCAAGACTTGGTATTTAAAACTGCACAGACTATTCATCAAAGGCCTTAGTAATGCTTCCAACGCTCAGAACACTATGTGAAGTGATGGTCCTCTTACTATGTTATTCTCCCTGACAGTAATATTTATCTCATGCATAGAAGCAGCAAAAGAGACAGCTTCCTTGTATACACATTTATTGCACCTGAAGTGTCAGCTTTGGATTTGCTTTTGGAAAAAGCATCAAAAGGATTAAGATAAGGCTTAATTTACCCAAGCAGATTCTGCAGGATTTCACACATTTCTCTGCAGTTCCAGATGCTCAACAGACTAGAAATCTGAGATATCCATTCTGCATGACTGGAGCAAGCATATGTACAGGTAGTACAATTTGTGGGAGAAAAAAAGATTGCATTTGTGGGAGAAGTCAGACTGCATGAGCTTTTGAAATGGTCTGCACATGCAATACAACTGATCTGTTTGGGATGGCTCAAACTGTTGTAGAATGGTTTGGGTTGGAAGGGGCCTGTAAAGGTCATCTAGTCCAACCTCCCCTGCAAGGAGCAGGGACATCTTCAACTAGATCAGGTTGCCCAGAACCACATCCAGCCTGGCCTTAAATGTTGGCAGGGATGGGGCATCTACCACATGTTGCATATCTGGAGCATTCCAGATCATAATATTGCAACCCTGGAATTAACAGCCAAAGAGTCTGTTCCCTTGCCACTCTTTGCAGCATACCTTATCAAATGGCTCTTCATTTTCACAAGGTCTTATCATGCAAAGCCGTGTCTGCTTCACCATCTCACACTGTTGATTTCTGTTGGTAACACGGGTGGAAAAGCCTATTCCACAGCTTTTAGAACATGCACTCCATTCTGTGGTCTGCTCAATACAATTGGCACTTGAATCCGACACGCCGATCCCGAGTGTGGCCTCTTGTCTGTAGGCTGGAGACAAAATCCCACAGAACTTTATCAGAAGTTTGTGCGAAAACCCAGTATCTAATTGAGTTTTATAACATCTGGGAAGGAAAAAATTGACAAAGAAAGGTTCAAAATCCATGCTTTTGCCAGAATTTAGGAATTTTGAAAGCTGACTTTTTAGGAGCCCCAGATAGGAACTTCCTGCATCTAAAAATGACAGAAAGGTGCACAACACTGTAACCAGCAAAGCATGTAGAGCCAGTTCACACAAGTCCACAGCTGGAAGAATTACTGCCAAATTTTTAACCAGTTGAGAATTCTACTTTAATAACTCCTTATTCCTTACTCTTTCAAATGGAAATGCATCACAAATCTGTTCTAAAGCTACAAAATAAAAATATTTATATTAGATATGAGAGAGGCTGAATGATCATCTAAACTAATAATCAGCATGGAACTAAAGGCCTTACTTTCCAAGAGTCATAAAGTCACATGATCCTTTCAATTATTAACAGATTATAGCCAGGGTGATGGTAGGGAGGGAAAAAGAGAGTAATTTCCAGGAGTTACCACAGCTACTCAAAGCCAAGCCACGTCTGACTATCATCCTGCCCTCATGCCAGTGTTATGCTGTATTCTGCAAATATTACTAACTGTATAGCTTGGTTCAGCAGTTATCAGAGGAGTAAAGAGAATGAGGCAACACAACTGAGCTGTCAGTCACAGCTCTGGCTGTTAAGCTCCTCTACATCACCATTTCTGCCTTTTACATGGTAAAGCTCCAAGGTGGCCTCCCAACAGCCAAGAAGCTGTTGCTTGAAAGAATGCAGATAATCCATCCATAGCCATCTTATGGATTAGCCTGTCATTGTCAGACAAATCAAAGAAAATGAAAGACAGTAGAAAGGTGGGGAGCTTTTTGTTTATACCTTATGGCCTCACAACTAGCACTTTGTAGCACTCTGAAAAGCTATTACAACTTTTCTTCCTGTATCCTTCCTTCCTTGTTTTTCAAATGGATTAGCTGAGTTTCAGCATAACTAACCGCTTAAGACCACAAAGAGCAGTGACTGGAAGAGAATGCAGTGCCCTCAACCCTCAGTAAAAGTAGCTTATGAAAATTCATGTTCAACCGATAGTCTAATTTAAGGGGATGGAGACGTAATTCAGTAAGAAAACAAGGAGGAAATATTATGTAGCTTTTTTCAATTACAAAAAGCACTTTATGAGTTCTGCGTTTTGGAACAGGATGAGCTAGGTTTTTTTTAGATCCACTCACTGTGTTCATAACCACTGCTTCTCTGAGCACTTTGTAATGCTTTTAATGCCAACAATAATGGTAAGAGCTCTAGCAAAGACAGGCAGGAATTTATTGGCATTTTAGCTACCATGCTGACCACTTGTAATAGCTGGGAATTAGGCGGGTGAGAAAAGTCTCTTGTAGACTAAGCCATTACAATAATATTTATGATGTAATGATATTCCTGCCCAGCAACTGGCAAGACTGCAGCTTTGATTTAGGGGGTAATATTTGGAGGATTATCATCTCGCCCCTGTCTTGTTCTACTCACAGAACTACCCTGTACCAGCTGAACAGCAATTTCGGAATTGGGAACTAACTTAACTACCTTTTAAAACTAATATGCACATTCATCCTTTGACTTTATTTCCTTTTACCTACTGAGCTCTGCCTTTATTCATGACCACTGTGATACTTACTAGTGAGTTTAAATGAGAAAAAAGATCATAAAAAACGACTGCACAAAGCAATGTGTCTTAGATTTGGCAACCCTGTGGATATTTCCAGTGTGATATCACCTCCTCCTCACAATGACTGCGATAATTAGTTTTCATTTCCTCCCCAGCCATAGCAAAACCTCCCAAAATCACTTCATCCTTAGGGTCACAGATCCACTTCTCACAGCACTCTCCAGGAACTTCGATTTTTCTGGGGAAAGGGCAGTCGGGGCCGGGGAGCAGCAGGTCCAGGTTACAGCGGGGCAGGCTTTTTTTTGGCAGCCGATCTGTCCGTCTCGGCAGGTGCACTGGTACTTGCAGCTGGGCTGGAACGTCTCCCCGTTGCGATAAATCATGCCGTCGAACACGCAGTTGTCTCCCTCCAGCACTAGCGAGCAAAGCGAATGCATTTCACTGAGACAGAGGGCACTCGGCTTCCTCCCCGTGTGCCCCCGAGCGGGCCGCGCTTTACACCACTCAGAGCGCCCTCGCCCGCA